AACTATATAAAACCCACCAGATGAGATTATTTCATTTTTTTTTCCCAGATAAAGGACAATTTTATTAGTTTAAGAGAAAAATATAGTGAGGGGTAGGTGAAAATCCTGGCACTTGCTAGCAGAGATGGAGGAAGTTATGCCTTTTAAGTCAGGCATAGAAAAGAGATTATTAAGAAAAGATACCCCCTCCTCCGCCCACCAACGCCTGAGGCAGGTGGGAGAGCTGCTTCTACTCCCCCCCCCCCCCACCATGAGCTGCGTCTACCCCCCACCCCCGCCCTTCAGCTGCAGGACCTGTCCCCACCCTTTGCTCATTGCTGCAAGGGGGCTACTAGCCAGGACAGTGCAGGAGAGCTCACCCTGGTGGTGAGACAAGGGAGAGCTGGTGGCTGAGCAACCCTGCAACTAAGCAGGTCCAGAAGCAGGTTTGAGTTGAGCCAACCCAACATCCATCTCGCTTATGATCCACTGGAGCACGTGAATGGACCAGTCCTGCAGACCCAAAGCTGCAGGGTCTCCACAACACAGGGCACCATCAGGATAACCAAGGAGTCCCAGTGGGGGCCCAGCATCACAGTGTAGCAGAAACCGGAGGCCTCAAAACCAGACCAATGAGTCTTTGCAATGAACACTTGTACATATATGTATATATGTATAAAAGGATTTACTAAATGACACTGAGTCATGCTACAGCTTCCATGAGAAGACTGGTTTTTCTTTTTTTTCCTTCTTTTTTCTCTTAAATTTTATTTTGGGGGGAAGTTGCAAGAGCAGAGGGTGGATATGAAGGGATGGAGATACATAATGCAAAAGACACAAAAGGATGAGCGCTAAAAAATAAAAACAACAAAAAACCTCCTAAGAATCAAAGTGGGCTGTAAGCTGAGGAAAGAGCCCAAAGCTGAGACCATTTAATTCCTTCACTCCCTCCTTACCATGCCCCCACCCCCCCGAGTATTTACTGAAGATCAATCCTATAGTCTTGGACAAAAGTTTTACCATGGAACCCCACCCATAACGCCCTTTCTCCTTTGAGACAGGTTTTGATGTAGTCAAGGCTGGTGTCCTATCTCCCCCTTTCTGAACACTAAAATTTTAAGCACGTGTCACCATACCCGTATTATCTCATTTCTTAAAATAAACCTCTACGCAGGCAGCAGGACAGGGTAGAATTAAAACCTTGCAGATAAACACCACTGTTTAGGCTCAGAAGCCCTTTTCTTCTGTGGATCAAATGTCTGCGGGGGGTAGTGACTCACGGATGTTTTACCTCATCCTAGGCTTGCTCAGAACACCTGCAGAGCAGTTTAAATCCAGGACTGCCTGAGACAAACGCTCCTGACCTTTAGGGAGGTCTGCTGACAATGGCCCCCAAAAGATATGGCACCCCAAATCTCAAACCTTTGATGTTACCTTCAACTAAAACATGGCACCTGCAGATGCGATTAAGGTTTGGCAAATTACCCCGGATTATCCAGACGGACTTTGAATGACATCACAAATATCTTTAAACGGCCAAGCATGGGCGCTCTGCTAGTGCCTCTCGCGAGTGTGCAATCCGGCTGAAGGCTGACTTGGGAACACGAGAGTGCACTTCTCTGGCTTTAGTCACATCTATTAGAACACCCCTACTGTTTAGGACACAAATATATCCTCTCCAGAGAAATAGGTATGGTATGGTTCACTAGGAAAACCCAGTTAACGATCTATCTCTAAAACATTTCCAACACTGGACCAAAGTATCATTTAAGAATAAAGCGTGGCTGGGCGGTGGTGGCGCACGCCTTTAATCCCAGCACTCGGGAGGCAGAGGCAGGCGGATCTCTGTGAGTTCGAGACCTGCCTGGTCTACAAGAGCTAGTTCCAGGACAGGCTCCAAAACCACATAGAAACCCTGCCTCGAAAGACCAAAAAAGAATAAAGTGTGTCCATTATTGGGAAGGCCCGTGGAAGAGGCCTGCAGTGCCACATCTGTGCTAGTGGCTTGTACTGGCAGATGCGACACTGCTCAACTTGAATGCTTGCTAACAGTAGCCCTGGGGCACTCGGCTGGGCAGACACACAAAGGCCTGGCACAATAACCGTCCCATCAGTTCCTCACAGGAAGTATATTATGAGCAGAAACGGTGTGTGACGTGTATGGAGAGAAACGACATTCACAATTGCCACCTCCTCTGCCCATCAATCAATCCACCTGTGTAATCCAGTCCTTACCATCCCAAGTCTGTTTATACCAGGCTTTCACACTTAGCTCTTATGAAAATAAACTTCACCCACATTTACTAGTAGTAAAGGCAACTGTTCAAATATCTATTCCAGTGGTTCTTAATCACAAACCTATCTCCAAAAATATTTAATTATGATTCATAACAGCAGCAAGTTAATTATGAAGTAGTAATGAAAATAATGTTATGGGCGGGGGTCCCCACAACATGAGGAACTGTATTAAAGGGTGCAGCATTAGGAAGGTCGAGACCCAATCGGTTAAGGGTTACCAATTCTCCAGCCACTCTGTTTTCTTTGGGTTTCTCCTCCTGCCAGAACAGTATTCCCAAGTTACTTCAGGGTTAAGTCGAACTCAACTCTGGGGCGACTGCTTTCTCTGCAGCAAGCTCAAGACTCTGACTGGTCCTTCCCACTAATCCTGTCAGCAGACACCAGCTTTACCTCATCATTTCTTCCCCAGACCTAGAGCACATTCTAGTTGACAAAACCACGAAAGGCCTCTTGTTCTCGGCCTATTTAAAGCCGCTGTAACCTTTTGTCTTCAGGATCACTCACACAGAAATCCTCAAGATGAGTGTGTAGTTTCCAGAGAAGTCAAACGCTGAAGATGCTGAAGATGCTGCAGGGCCAAAGGCTGCAGACGGGCAATTACCTCACTCGTGAACAGTGAGGAAGACAAGGCTAACCCAGGTCCATCACAGGTACACCATAACATTATAACTGATTTTTAAAATAAACTTCTCCTAGAAACCACAAAGTTAAAGCACACTGACAGTTTGAGAGACAAACTGATAAACGATAATTTTTAAGGTAGTAGGAATATTAATTATAAAATCCATTCCCACTTGCCAGTCTTTGTACATGCTAGTCAAGCACACCGCAACTCACCTCCAGCCTTGGGGTTTGCATTCAATGAAGACACAGTACTTTAGCTACTTGCTAAAAAGAACACTTGTACCAATGACATGTTTGTCATCCACATCTAAGAGAAGATTAAAGAAAGTAAAACTTAATTTCCCAATGGAATTTTTAATGTCAATTAACAGTAAACAGTCTATGTTTACATGTTTAATTGGGAAGAAACCCCTGAAATAACGTAAACCCACACAGCTGCTTAGGGCCTGAAGGGAGAGCTCAGGAGGAGGTGCAGGGCTTCCAGGCAGCCGCTGTGGCTGACTGTAATTCAGTGCTTGCAGACGAGCTAGCTCACCAGCCAGCAGGACCTGTGAGCGTTGGCTTGATAATATAAGCTATAGAATGATTTTGGGGACATAAGTCTCTGGCTTCCACACATACTGAGACACACTATGTGCTTCCATACACATGCAAAGATGCATTACATACCATGCACACACATGCAGAAAAACAAAACCCACAAGTTTTTAACATTCTTATAAAAGCATGAAAAAGTGTTTCCTAGAGCCCAGCTTTCCCAGCTGCTATTGGGAGCACGACCAGGGACGCTGTCCCTTGTTCGTTCTATCTTCCTATTATTCCATTCAACTACCAGGGAAGCCCATCTACATGTTATTTTCATACCCTGGGTGCAGCTTCTTTTGTGTAAGAGAAATGGTTCTTCATACAACCACAGCCTACTAGAATTAAGCAGCTGGATAAAACCAACCTACAGGGCTGGAAATGGCTCAGCGGTTAAGAGCACTGGTTGCTCTTCCAGAGATCCTGAGTTGAATACCCAACAACCACCTGATGGCTCACAACCATCTGAAATGAGATCTGGTGCCCTCTTCTGGCCTTCAGGCATACATGTAGACAGAATATTGTAAACATAATAAATATTTTAAAAAATAAATAAATTTTAAAAAAAAGCAAAACTGACCCACAGCAGTTTTAATTAATACGAGCATTAATTCCTGTGCATGCTGTTAGCACCCTCATTTAGCAAAGGAAGGCTGGGAGTGTAGCCCAGACTGTGGACTGCATGAAGCCCTGGGTCTCACAGAAGGGAATCAGAACAGAAGGATTAGACACCCGAAAACCTAGCGCTGGTTCTTGATTCCATACTCTTACTTACTATATTAAAGTGGTCATGTTGTACTCCTGGAGCAGTTCTAAACCACAGTGATTTCTGGGTCAGCATATATGATGTCCGGATGCCTTTATTCACTATAACCTGGGAGTGGGAGGTATTATCACCTCTAGTGGGCAGATACCCAGGGATGTTAGCTTAAAACTCGGTGATACATAGGGCAACCCTCCCATAGAGTACCTAGCACCAAATGTCAACAGTAGCAGGGATAAGAAATTTTACAGAATGGACTCAGGCAGGGCAGCACTTCAGTTGATCTTGGTTGTTGCTATATCTGTAATCCTAGAAAACCCTAGAATAGTTTTTTCTTTTTGGTTTTTCGAGACAGGGTTTCTCTGTAGTTTTTGGAGCCTGTCCTAGAACTAGCTCTTGTAGACCAGGCTGGCCTCGAACTCAGAGATCCGCCTGCCTCTGCCTCCCGAGTGCTGGGATTAAAGGCGTGCGCCACCACCACCCGTCTTAAAACAGTTCTTGACACTTAAGTTTTCTGCTGAAGGAGTACTCACTACTCATGATGGGCAGTGGTACCTTCAACGGATCAACAGAACGGTACACTGAAATAATTTTAGTGTCCCAGTTTTGAGGGCATCCCCAAGTGATCATAAAGAAAACAAGCTTTACTAAAACATGTCTCTCAAGGATAACAAAATAAGAGTGTCTCTAAGAACATCCACTTGAAGGCCTCTCAGCGGTGGAACTTGGTGATTTAATACATAACGAGTAAGACTGTCTTAAAATGAAAGCCTTTAATGTCCCATTCAAACAGCATGTGTCGAGGACTGGCACACCTGCAGGGTAGAAGGTACCACTTAAGTGGATGCTCCAGCAGCTGGTAAATGCTACGAGAAAGTATAAGAGCTTCTTTACAAATATCACAGAATTCAATGATAGCACACAGGAGACAAACACTGTTATATAAAAGAAAAGTAGCATGAGTCAACATCAAAAAATTTTATAACCTTATTAATATTTTAAGCATAATTGGTGCAAACTTCTGTGTATTAGTTTCCCAAAATTTGCATTCTGCATTAAAAAAAACCCATAGTGTAGTTCCCAAACTATTTAATCCTTCTTCCTTTTCCCAGCTCAAAGAGCCACTGAACACTAGCCAAAGGCGTCTGTTCATGTGTAATACTGCTTGAATTACAACATTCTTTCTCAAGGAAAAGTTCAAAGGGTAGTTTTACGTGGACAGCCAAACAAATCTAGGAAAAAAACGCCCCAAACCCAAACAAACCAAATCCTGACATCTTGGATTTAAGAGTCTGGTTTACCTGTAAGTTATAAATTATGAAATCACACTGTGGAAAATAACACCTATTACATTTAAAAAGGTAAACCCATATTTATTTACTAGCACTGTTAAAACATTACACAAAACACATTCAAGTGGCAAGTAATTATAATGCAAGCCCTTGCACGGCAATCCAGATTTATTGAACTACGGATGCTAAGTTATACAAAGTTGCACCACTGTGATTAAGGCTTTAGTTTACATTCGGCCACCTCCAAGTCCTTGTAACATCAGGTCGGTCAATTGAAATACCGTGGCTCCCTGTTGGATGGACACACAGTCTTTACACCCAAACGTTAATGCACACAAAGCAACAAGGCATTGTTAAATAAAACAGCAAGAATTACTGCGGTTAGGCCTTGTGACCAATTACACATGATTAAAATTACTTCCCACATTCACATCCACAGTACTCGTCACATGAGAAACAACCACTCACAGGCAACAGCACTACCCCTGTGTATTTGGTATTGCAGACACACGTAGGCATGAGCAAGCAAGGAGTCACAGTGAGAATCTACAGCTGCAGAAGCCTGGAAATGATTTACAAAATTGTTAAATCATTAAAAAATTGTTTGAAAATATACACTTCTTGTTGTAGACCCCCACTGTACACACAACTATAAACATTGTTCCCTATGTAAACAAAAAAGGAAACATATAATAAGGAGATTTGAAAAGTCTGGACATTTCCTTTCCAACAGATATTAAAGGCAACGTCTTTAATCTAAGACATTATACTGAAAGGACTATCATATTTTAAAGACAAGATCACTGTCTCCACAGGATTTTGAAAAATTAAAAAAACTATATAGCTGTGTTAATCAAAGCGCTTATTTTTGTATAATACAATGATAATGACCTTGAATTTAAAAAAAATTACAATAAGCTACAAGTATCAAAGAAGCGAAGTTATCTGGAGTAGTCTATACAGGAGCTCTTTGGACTTTCTTTTATTATGCTAAAATAGTGGTGCTTTTAGGATTTACATTATTGTCCTCTCCGATACAAAGTATGGGGTGTGGTAAAGTATACAGTACACCATTTCCTTACATGTACAACATTGGTGGATGAAGAATGTCTCTTAGCAGTAATACTGGATGTAGCCTCTGGTCTGACCAGCTGCATACTCTAGAACCTAGTATAGAAGTAAAAATCTCTCGTGAACTGGAAAAGTGATAGAATGTGCAAACTGATACAGTGGCTTTCATCCGCCTCAAGGGCACCACCACAGGAAAGTCCAGTGAAGACGTTGGTAGGTTTACAAAGTTGGAATGCTGGCACTGTTGAATTGGGCAACAGTTCTTCAGACCTGTGGAAGAGAAAACAATAAATACACTAACTGAAACTGTACAACAAGGAATTAAGGAAACAATAGACAAAGGCTCTGATTCTAGTCATGACATTAATGACGGATAAGATATTTTTATATCTTTATTCCAAAAAGGATGGCAGTCTACACCACTACGCCCCCTGGAAGCCACACAAATGGAAATTCTAGGCCAAAGAAGGAAAATGCTCTGTGTAACTTTCTGCATATTATTTTCCAAAGATTAAAAAGGAAAACAAATTGGAGGCTGGAGAGACATCTCAATGGTCTTCTAGAGGACCCTGCACCCACATGGCTGCTTACAACTGCCTGTAACTCCAATTCCAGGGTATCCGACACCCTCTTCTGGTCTCCTTGGACACCAGGCATGCATACAGTACTCATATATACAGCAGGCAAAACACTTGTACACAAAAAACAGAAGGCAACCAGGCAGTGGTGGCCTTTAATCCCAGCACTTGGGAGGCAGAGGCAGGTTTACAGAGCAAGTTCCAGGACAGGTTCCAAAGCTACATAGAGAAACCCTGTCTCAAAAAACCAAAACCAAAACAAACAAAAAAAAGGAGCAAGCCAAAATCTGCTTACTTGTCTGACTCTATAAACACATGCCTACACTGAAATATTTTTTCCTTTTATTCACTTGAGATGAGCACTTGATATATAGCACAGGCTGCCCTGAACTTGGCAACCTTTCCTGTCTCAGCATCCTGAGTGCAGGAGCAAATAAGACTCAAAATGGAGCCAGCTGTGGTGGTGCATGCCTTTAATCCCAGGCAGGCCCATCTGTGGGAGTTTGAGGCCAGCCTGGTATGCATAGCCAGTTCCAGAACAGCCAGAGCTATGTAATAAAGAAAGAGAAACCCCGTCTCAAAAAACAAACAAACAAAAAAGCAAAAACCAACCAAACAAACAAACAACAAAACCAAAAACCAACCTAGCAACCAAACAACAAAACTTTGCAAGGTAAAGATATAATGGCACTGTGCTTTAATGCTCACTAAAATAGGAGATAATTGCCACGGGCAAACGAGAGAGTAGACAGTGCTTACCGTGTGACAGACACTGACCTCACGTTATAAGCACTGATCTTACTCAACGCCTGTTTTTATAACCCATAAAGAATGTAATGTCCCCCTAGTCTTTCTTTGGTTAGACTCCAAGGTTGTCGTCACTCTCTCTGCTGAGAACCCTTCCTCCAGCATTGCTGACTTCTACTTGCCCTTTCTTGTATTCCAATTCTGACAGGCTTTCCCTAAACTCTCAGTTTAGAGAAACCAAAACAGCATGGCGGAAACCAAGTCAGAAGCTGGGCAATCTACTGAAATCCTGAAATTCAGGCAACGCTCTTAACCACTGAGCCACCTCTCCAGCCCAACAGAGTGACTCTTTAGTGCCAGGCTCTTCATCTGTTTTGCCTCAAAGGCTTGTTCTGAAGTGTCTTCCCTGCTCCTGGGTGAGTGGAGGCATCACAAGCTTAAGGTGCCATACCACACACATTGTAAAACTCTCTTCTATTACATCTTAATTATCTGAGTTCTGATGATAGGTAAAGAAATATAATTTTAGGGGACTGGAATGATGGCTCAGTGGTTAATGGCACTGGCTGCTCTGGACCCGAGCTCAATTCCCAGCACCCATATGGCAACTCACAGCTTCCTGTAACTCCAGATCCAGGAGATCTGACACCTCGACATCAACACACATAAAGTTAAATAAGTTATACATATGAAAGAAATATAATTTTAGTTTCTAGGATTATCATGCTAAGTCATGGTATCTATTTTTAAGGACCCACATCATTTGCTTGCTTTTATGGCAGTCCTTGGAATAAAGTTAGCAGTGAGAAGAATGTAACAGGGCTGGAGAGATGGCTCAGAGGTTAAGAGCACTGGCTGCTTTTCCAAAGGTCCTGAGTTCAGTTCGCAGTAACCACATGGTGGCTCACAGCCATCTGTAATGAGGTCTGGAGCTCTTTCTGGTGTGCAAGCAGAACACTGTATACATAATAAATAAATAAATTTAAAAAAAAAAAGGAAAAAGAAAAAAACAAAGGAACGTAACATACCTGGCTCAGAGCTACAACACACCCAGGACATTAAAGCAGCTGGCATGACGACTTTTTGCGGGCCTTGCCAGGCACTGGAGTTTTTCTGTTAATTTGCCGCACTAGATCATAAAAGATCTGCAAATACATTATTATTATTATTACTGTTATTATTTTTAAAAGGGAAAAACAAGCTCAAAACCCAAAAATGAAAAGTGAAGCAAAAGCAAACAAAACCCCGGCAATCCCTGTGGCTGTCAGGGACCCAGAAGCAAACAAAATCCCCCGGCAATCCCTGTGGCTGTCAGGGACCCAGAAGCAAACAAAACCCCCGGCAATCCCTCTGGCTGTCAGGGACCCAGAAGCCAGCGCTCCTTCGCAGAGCGAGTAAAGCCCGTCTTCCACAAGTACCAAGTTCTTATTTCTGAGAAATTTAAAACTAATTTCCTTAAAGTAAAAACTTAGTTGAAGGAGCTGCAGAATTCTACCCAATTCAGTTAGAGCTCTCCTATCCTACAAAAAAGAAAAGAAAAGAGAAAAAAAGCCTCTTCACTGTCTCAGATCTTTCCGTATGCCTTTGCTCTAAACAGCTTCACTCCCTTCAGGAACCATGTGTGTCTTTCTGCCTTTTCCCTCCAATACTCAATGAATTCAGTGTGTTCCCATACTGGCCTTCTGCCCAACTTTCCCTTTAACAGAAATTGCATTGTATGCACATCACAAAGATCGCAACGCTGCTCCTTCTTTCCATGCACTGGCTCTCAAGGCTGATCTCTCTCCTGGAAGAGCACACACTAACCCCGAGTTCTCCTGCAGTGCTTCCCATTAACTGAACATTCTCTTAAGATTCTGTTACACGTGTGTTCTCATGAGTTTATTATGTGCAACACATGCTAATGTTGTCATGTAGGTATGGGAACCAACCTAGGCTTCTCTGTAGCAGTAAGCACTCAAATACTCAGCCAGGCGCCTTTCCAGTAATTTAAGATGTTACACTAAATATAAAAAGCTCCCTAACGCCATGCGCACATACCTCATTAACGTTTATTTTTGATTTTGCAGAAGATTCTAAGAATGCACAGTTGTTCCATTGTCTTGCTAGGTTTTGACCTTGTTCCTTCCCTACAACTCTTTCGTCTTCCAAGTCACATTTATTGCCCACAAGAATCATTGGAACCTACAATGACATTGGTGAGGGTAAAACAGAGACAGCGATAAAGACCCACTCTAAACTGCTTAAGAAAGAGGGAAAATTATGCCACGATGGACTTAATCACAGCAATCAAAAACACCCTTTTAAAGGGGAAGCACAAAGGGTGCTACCCTGAAAAGCCAGCATATTTCAATACTTAAAAATGTCTAACGGTGTGAATCAACTTCGGTTTCTGACATACATTTAATGAACTGCACGACACAGAAACGAGAAATTAAGGAGGCTCCTATAGCAGAAACTTCAGCTTCTTACTGTCTAAGCTGGAACCTTTCACTTTCATATCTATGATGAAATAAATCAACTTAGTAGAAGTCAACATACTTATTAGTGGCATCACGCTGTTTGCATCTCTCTAATGTTTGTACTTTTCAAAGAGCAGTATAGGGAAAGTCATAAACTACTAATGGCCACTTAGAAGTCATCTCCTAAAGGGCTTTTTGGGAGGGGAAAATTCAAACAAGGAAAACAATCTAGGTTTCTAAAAGAAACTTAATTTTTTTTTTACATACTTTACTCTGACAGAAAAACAGAACCTCATAAATCCTCAGCTACATAGGTGTAGGAAATGACGGCATCGACCACAGAAGCCTGCTTACATCGTCAGTGTCTTTAACCCGAAGAATCTGCTCTCTCAGGTCTTGTAAGTCATTAAACGTGGACTGCGCCGTGATCGAGTAAACCAAAGCGAAGCCCTGGCCATTCTTCATGTACAAATCTCTCATTGCTGTAAATTGTTCCTACAGAAAAAAGATTAAAAGACAAGGATGTGTTTCGATACCAAATTAGATAATTCCCAAACCTACACTTCACAGCTTATTGGAGAATATTGGAGTATTATACACCATTCCTTAAAATCACACATTATAGCAAGATACTGCCTGAGAATTGCATAACAAAGTTCTTTTAAAAAACGACACCATAGATTTATATATAACACATGCCCAACTTGAAGAGAGACATCTTGTCTCTAAAAGAAACTTTGTTTTCTGAGACAGTTTCTCTGTATAGCTGTGGCTGTCCTCGAACTTGCTTTGTAGACCAGGCTGGCCCTGAATTCACAGGTTCACCTGCCTCTACCTCCCAAGTGCTGGGATTAAAGGTGTGCACCACCACTATCCAGTATTAAAAGCAGTTTCTGAACCTATCATCAAGTGTTGAGCACCAGTCTTCTCCCAGACGTGCGGCACACTGTGATCTCATCATTTTCCTAGGGCGTGGGCATCTGTGCGAAAGAAGCTGATGTGGACCACATTTCCCTTACTTTTGGACACCTACAAACCTAATCGGTTGTTATGGTCTGGATATAGACTGAGTAGTCTTCATTTGCCAAAATTTTACCCTGATTGTGAGGCATCTAGAGGGTAGAAACTTGATTCTATGAACTGAAGAGGTGAGGTCGCTGGGAAGCAGTTAGGATTGAATATGGTGGCTTCTTACAGGTGAAGGGGAGGGGAAACACAGATATGCATGTTTCTGTGTCTTGCCACTTGATGAGTACTGCCTCAGGCTCTGTCAGGAATAAGCCACCACCAGATTTTGCTCTTAGACCTTGCATCTCCAGAACAAACCATAACAAATCTCCATTCATAAAGTTAGCTGGCCATAGGCATTTCAGGACAGTAACAGAGTTGATGCAGTTATTTAAAAGTACCTTTAAGGACAACTACCAATCAAAACAGTTCATATGGTCAAAGAATAAATGTATATCTAAGCATTGTCAACATTATCTGAAATATATAATATACTGTCTTATAGGGACCAATACAACCACAGGCCATGAAAGTTTCTACTCTGCATTTAAAAATTTCTCCAATAACTGATCCATTCCATTCGTAAAGGGCACCGTTTAAAAACTGATGCACACTGCATATCCTTTGATAACTTAACTTACATACCGTTCCTGCAGTGTCCAGGATTTCAAGCATACACTGCTGTGCATCTACTTCAACTTGCTGAAGAAAAAGTTAAAATAGTCCTTTAGTTTTCATGCATGAAAAATACCCACAACAGTTAAGATTAGAACAGATATAGATTATGGCAACTTTACAGGGTAATATTGAGCAATACTTAAAACTAGCTAAGTCACTGTGGCGGTTTTAATAAGAATGGCCCTGGTGATGGCATCTGAGCACTCGGTTCCCACTTTGCATTGCTGTTTGGGAGGTTTGGAGTGGTGCAAGGATAACACAGAGGACCGGCTTTGGAGTTTCAAAGCTACCGCTTGTTCCCAGTTTGCTCTCTGACTGCCTCCTGCTGCACGGTGGACAAGCTCTACAAGCTGCCTTGCTCCTAGTGTTTACTGCAGCAACTGAACAGTAATGAAGTTCCAAAGCCCCCCATTCTAGTCTGGTGCAAACTGCATGTACTGAGACATAACTAAGACTCAGCCACAGTGTGACACACTCAACACTTAACTTTGGAATAGAAATGCCTTCAAAACAGTTTAAGCAGAAAAGCAACGGTTCCAACATGGTTTTTCCTATCAGCTTTCCTATAATGCTTTGGGTGTGCCTTTATTTCCCTAAACATCTTTTTTTCCCCTTTGAGATAGGGTTTCTCTGTGTAACAGTCCTGGCTGTCCTGGAACTCACTCTGTAGACCAGGCTGGCTTCAAACTCAGTGAGATCTTCCCGCCTCTGCTTCCCGAGTGCTGGGATTAAAGGTGTGTGTGCCACCACCGCCCGGTCTCCCTAGACACTTTTTGTCATCGACAGACACAATTTCTGGTGACAAGGAAGCAGTGTCTTAATTATAAAATAAAGCATATATCCATGTTATTCTTTCTAATATTTCCTAGGAATGAAATTTACTTAGAATTAGATCAGAAGGAAAAAGACTACTTCTGCCTCACAGCTGCGGTGCAGGAAGCTTTTCCAGTTTTGTGGTGGGCAAATGGAAAGAGGGAAACAGCAACTTCACAATCGGAGGGCCAGATGCTACAGAAAAGCAGACACAACTCTCACACTATTACATTAAAAATGTTTGCACACTGTTTTATCCACACGTGCTGTGCTCGCAAACACCGTGATTCACCTCTGCTGTGGCTGTGGGTGGCAAGGGTAGGACACCCACTGTGGGCTATCTCTAGAGAGGAGAACTGGAGGCCACTCCTTCCAGTGAGTGAGGCCTGGGAAAATGGGGCTGCCTCTTGAAGTGACAGTCCAATTACAATTCTGGGGTCAGAATAACCTAAAAGTTGCTCACAAGTCTCTGGGCAGCGGACAAGGAATGCCAAGAACGAGCATTTCTAACTAACAAGCACCTCGTCATCAGTGTATCTAAAACATTTGATAGCTCCAAACTAAGAGTATTTACTATTGTATTAAAATCAAAAGGCTTTTAGAAAGTCACCTACCTTTCTGTAAGAATCTTCTATCGTAGGGTCATATTTTTCAACAAAAATTCCTTGAACAAACTGTACAGTCTGGGAAAAAAACACAATATTATATTTCTAAAGAAACAAACAAACAAACCTAAATCTGTAAATTTTGTTTATTTATTTATTGATTGATTGATTGACAGGCTATGTATCTCTGGCTAGCCTGTAACTCAGTCTGCAGACCAAGCTGGCCTTGTACTTGCAGTGACCCTCTGGATTCACCCAAGTACTAGATACGAAGCCCAGCTTAAATCTGTCGTTTTAAACTATTAACTATTTGGATCTGTGGGTTCCATAACCTCAGATTTAAACAACTATGGATCAAAACTATTTGGGAAAAAGGACAAATCAGACTGTGTGCATACTGAACATACACCACATTTTGTCATTGTTAACTATACAATGGAACTATCCATGGTGTAAACGGCACAACAGCTATTCGAATGGCATCTATGTCCTGTTGGCATCGCAATTTTGTTTGTTTGTTTGTTTCTTGTTTTTGGGACTGGTTTCTCTGTGTAGCCTTGGCTGTTCTGGCACTTGCTCTACAGATCAGGCTGGCCTCACAGATTTGTCTGCCTTTGCCATCCCGAGAGCTGCTCCACCCCCGCGAGGCTCTGGCACTGTAACTTTAACCCATACACAAAACAAATGCCTCCCCATCACTGCAGATACAGAAGACAAAGCAAATGCCACATTGCACTTCTCAGTTTGATCTCAGTGTGGTCAAGTTCTGCGTTAGGTGGCTATTTTAACGAGTAGGAAAAACAGCTCCTCTCACTGGGGAAAGAGAAAGTCATTCTGTGCTTGTCTGGGTCTCGCTGCAGCCCCACACTGCCGCTGTCTTGACCTACGTTCTTCAGAACACTCCAGGTGATGCTGTCTTTCTCCATCCCTAGTCCTCACATCAATCTGTTCTTTCTTGCTAGTGAAAATATAGGATGCCTATTAAAATCACACTAAACTAGATAGTCAAAGATTTGAAAAAGGATTAATTGCAAATATATAGTACATGCCTATTTATAAATTAAAAAAAAGTTGATTTCTGTATGGCACTAAAAATGCAAATATACAACTGTATAAATAGGCTGTTGTTATGGAAAGTCTAAACTACGTTATCATTAATTTAAACACTATCCACCCAGACACAACTAACAATTGTCTAAAACAACAAAAATCTTGTATTGCTCATAAAGTTATGGGCTAATTTAATCAGATAAACACAACTAACTACAGACATATTTTAAAAGAGCTAGATGTAGTAGCACACACCTATAATCCCAGAACAAGTGAGGACGGTCACATGTTCAGAGCCAGCCTAGTCTACCTGGCAAAAATTGTCTTAGGAAACAGAAAATATGAACAGAAGTTGAGCTGTAGTTCAGTTGGTGGAGAGCTTTGCTACCTGCATGCAGCTCTGAGTTCTAGCCCTATCATTACAAAAAATGGGATATGGCCTTGGAAAGCTATAACTTCGGACTTCCAGGAAGTGGAGGCAGGAGAATTAAAAATTCAATGTCAAGATTTCTACTGGCTACACACTAATATGAGAACAAAACAAAAAATACCTCAGTAGAAATGAACATCTTAGGATAAAAAACTCCCATTGAGAAAGAATGACTTACCAGAGCTGACTTTCCAACACCTCCTGAGCCAAGAACGACGAGCTTATATTCACGCATGATGCAGACGTGTTACACTCAGTACCTTGGTAAAGAAGAAAAAAAACGTAAGTTTTGGTATTTCCATGCTTCTTATAAGACAGCCAGAACAGCAGGCTTATATAAAATTATTACTAGACTAAGTTATCACGGTATTAATTTCCTACAGAATTAGAGTTAAGGGTAAGTGTGAGAGATCAGTGCGGCACTGGCTGTGCACGCCTGGCAACCTGAGTTTGAGTCTCCAAATCCATGTGAAGGTGGAAGGTAACAGCCACCACGACAAAGCTGCCCTCTGACATTCATGTGTCACGTATGGTCCATGTGCCCACACATGCACATCACACACACAATAGTAACGAAGTAAAATATAAAGATTTCAGACAGTACTTTTAGCTCTGCCTTAGCAAACCGGTTATCGGTTTGTGACATCACGTTGTCTGGGAAATAAACCCCACCGGCAGGTACTAGGCATGCAGCCCCATCCACTAATAAGCCAGCATCCTAGGACCCTGCGTGCAGATAGCTACATGCACACAAACAATGGAGTGAGTTTCTAAATCTCCCCTAATGACTATCAAGGTGTCTTGTTTGCTGGACAGTTTCTATTTCAATGTATTCCTGTACATGTCCAGGAATGGGAACGAGGGCAGATCTGGCCTGAACTAGTTTTGGCACATGTGCAGGAAGGCAAACTGTGCTCAGTGAACTTTTAGAGATTTCCTAGAATACTATCTTATGCTTACTCGTAACTGGGCATTGCATATGGGAACGGACGTGGGCTGTGAGTAGACTTGCATTACTCACATAATCTAAGCCTGTCAAGCAAAACAGAGAAACCACCCATAGTATTCCCTTTGCAATCCAATTCTTTCTCTTCCTCCAAGCCCCGACAAAGCATGGCTGGAGACAACTGCCTGGAGCCTCTTAACCCAGAGTCCACTCCTCTTTGGTAGCGTATCTGACTGGTACTGCTGCTTTGCTTCTGAAGCAACCCTTGCTACTTTGCCATGTGTGCACTTCTTCAATTCATTGATTAAGACTCAAGAATCTGGACGCACCCACTAACAGTAAGTAATTTTATTAGAATATCCAAAGAAAAAGGAAGAAAAACAGGAGAGCTGAGAAACACCACCAAGGGCTTTCACATTCATTCACACAATAACACGACATATCTACCCCTCTTTTCTCAAGCCATCTTAAGACAAGAAGAGGAAGCAAACATCCCATGCCACCTAGAAGTAGCTGAGTATAGGAATATAGTCAGTGAACAAAACAGAGAAAATCCCTGTTCTCATTTGAGAAAACGTTCTAGAAGAACGAATGGAGACTGGAAACACATCAGCCATGCATGACAGTGCACCCCTGCAAGCTCAGGACTCAGAACAATTTCATTTGTGTACCGTCCTGGTCATTCCATGCCGGGGCAGCACAGTCAACCGTGAAGACAGGTAACTGTAGTAAGCCTGCCCAGGAGTGCAGGTGTCACGGCGGTGCACATCACAACAAACATCTGAATGCCAATTGATCAACAACTGTTCCACCTGAGGCACAGTGCCACACTAGCTTACTCCTACCTTTGGAAGGTTGTCAATCTTTAAGTTTTATAATTCCCCTCAAATCATAAAATCAGCAGTCAGCTCTGCCCAGGGAAGGCAGTTCCTGTGCTTAAGTAACCAATAATAGCATGTCTATGCTTCCTGTTTCAGATATTTCCTACCTTCTCATGCTGAAGACTCTTGTGGCATTATTTCAACAAGTTCCTTAGGTCCATGACTCCTTGAGCTCATCTAGCCGGATCGCTACCTTAGGACATGTAACCAAGCAGGCCTTTGCAGATGGCAACTGTTTTTTTTTGCATAACACTTTGAATTGTGCCAAATGGTTAGTATTTTTGTCATTAGCTTGATTTTTTAGCTACTTAAACTTCTGTGATAAGTTTTGTCTCCCATGTTTTGTTTTGGCCTGGACTGTCTGGCTTTCATCCACTACTCTATATGAATGGATGGAGACAGAGGCCCAGGCTATAACCTTCAGTGTTGCAATAACCAGTCTAGGCAGAAGGGGGGTATGCTCGAACTCCACTGTCTCACAAGACTCTGATGATGACAATTGTGTTACCAGCTTGCAATTATTTTGTCTTCTAACATCTGCTTGTCAAGGAGCCTCACAATCCGTTAGCAAACACCTTTTCTCTTTTGGTTATTAGCAGTAAGGTCTCATTCCAGCCCAGGATGACCCTGAACTCAAAGGTGATTCTCTGCTTCCTCAATGCTGGGTGGATTAGAGGTGTGAACCACCATGCCTAGCTCAAGGAAAACATTTATTCATCTTTTAAAACATTCAAGACATTTTAATTTATGGGACTATATTATATCCAGTTAAACATGTAGATCTTAAGTATTACATGAATTTTGCTATATGCCAACATCTATATAATCCATACCCCCATTAAGACTTAAAGCATTTAATTATTACAAGGCACTTTTTCTTGATTGTAGTAATATTTTCATGTCATGAAAACACTGTCAAAGCTACATTTCCTTCTGCCTCAGAAATGGGCTGCAGACTTTAGGAATCTGTTGAGACATGTTCTAGAACACCATAGTTCTACCAACCTAGCTAGCCCCTTATATAACAAAGCTGTTAAAAGCACCAAGATAGGTGATCGATATTCCCCAAACTGAAACCTATGAATCTCCCTTAGGGATATACTAGTCACAATTTAAAATGGCAACTAAAGAACTAACTAACTAAATAAATAAAGCCCTTGCTATATAGGCCAGGTTAGCTCTGAACTTACAATCCTATTTAGTCATGCTCGTTGGTATAATAAGGCAGATTTATCCAATTCTTGTGTCCATCAATAGTTTGTTCTTTCTCTTTTGAGCTGGGTGTAATGGTGCATACCTTTTATTCAAACCCTCAGAAGACAGGCAGGACAATTAGGTCCACACAGAGAGTTCCAGGACAGCACAACGGGCACAAACACAGTTAGAATAAAATGCCTTTTCAAATAGAGGCTAGAAAAATGGCTCAGTAGTTGAGAACACGTGATGTTCTTAAAGAGGACCCGAGTACAGTTCCCAGCACCCTTAGCAATTCCAGTTCCAGGGGATCTGACACCCTCTTTCAGCCTTTCAAGCACACACATACACACACTTAGGCAGACAAATGCAAGTGGGCTCTGTCTACATAATGAGAAAGCGCTTCCCAATATGCTTTTGTATATTTCTCAAATATTATAGAGATTTCTGGGTACCCAACCAAAGGAAGATACAAAGGTCTACATGTTCTTCTTCCTCTTGGCTTGGTAGCCCACTGATCTCCAGGATGGTTCATACAGAGAAAGCCCTTCTTCTCATTTCAGATTAGGGCATGGGCATTGAGGCTTTCTCAGGAAATACATTTATCTTCAACTTCCACCCCAAATGAAGATACTGAACTGACTGTGTAAGAGGTTACACACACACACACACACACGAAAGTACAACACCAGAAAAGTGGCTTCCGGTGGTCCAGGCTCATAATCCTAGCACACTGCCGGTAAAAGAGGAGGACCACAAGTTCAAGCTCACCCTATATAGTTAGTTCAAGGACTGCCTTGGTTATGTGAGACCTTGACCCAAAATAAATAAATACATAAATAAATAAATAAATAAAGGAAAAGTCCCCCAAACACGGGGAGAAAAGCGAACTAAGAAATTTAAAAGTTATCACATTATGTTGTTTAAAAACTGTGAAACTATTTTTAAGAACGCTTCACTAGGGGCTGCAGAGATGTGGGTAAGAGTGTACACTGTTCTTGTAGAGGACCAGTTTCGTTCCTAGCACCCACACACGGCAGCTCACAACCACCTACAGCTCCAGTTCTCTGTGGACTCCATGGAAACCTATACATACACATTCTTTTTTTAAAAAAATTATTATTATTACTTTTATGTTTATTGGTGTTTTTCCTGCATTTTCTGTGTGGGTGCTGAGAACTGAAGCCAGATTCTCTGGAAGAGCAGCAGCCAGTGCTCCTAACCACTAGAGCCGTCTCCTCAGCCCGCCCTACATACACACTCAAAAAAAAGGAATGCTTTAATCCTGATAGAATGTAGACAAAAAGGAATCATAAAATTATCTTGGAAAGTAAATAAATAGTTTCATCTTAAAAAAAAAAATAAAGGCAGCCAGGCTGTGGTGGTGTACGCCTTTAATCCCAGTAATCGGGTAGGCAGGTGAGTTCGAGGTCAGCCTGGTCTACAAGAGCTAGTTTTAGGACAGGCTCCAGAGCCACAGAGAAACCCTGTCTTGAAAAAAAAAAAAGAAAAAGAAAAAGAAAAAATAAAGTGAATTAAAAAAAAAAGGCTGATCCATGTTTAACTATCATAAACAACACTATATTTCAAACAACTCCAGTGATATTTTTTGGTACTTCCTTAACAAAGTTAGGACAGTGAATGAGTCACGTGGCTGCTTTTCTTTATATACATTAGACATTCTAATTTCTAGCTCAGAATGGCAGAAAATGAAATGCAGAGGTCTGGAGCACAGAACTGGCTATCTACGTAATTTACCAGAGGGAAGTCACACATGTACCTTAAGTTGTGACATACAGACTATAACCAATTTCACAGGGTTGATGGACAGATTTTAAACAAGAACCTCATTCCTGATAAAAGCCTTGACCAACAGTCATTACCAACACTAACCAGAGGAAACAAAGATCTGGATCATTTTGGTGTTTAGTGTGTGGTGTAAAATTACCTAAGGAATCGAGTGCTTAGCTAGAGGCCGGGGCACAGTGCAGTAGCACACTGGGTGCTGCAGTTCGCTGCGCATCCTTCTACTCTACACGCCGCCACCGAGACAGGAGCACAGTGAGTCTGAAGCTTGTCTGGGTCACACAGCTAGAGCCTGTTTCAGAACATCAGACTCAGTGGGATAGCCTGGGCTACACAACAGCGGTTCAGGCCAGCCACTCAGTGAGCACGTCTCAAAACAACATAAAACAAAAGAACTAACCAACCAACAAACCCAACCCAACCTAACCAAAAC